GGAGCCTGTATGCATACTCACCTGCCTATCCCATATAGGCAACACTAAAAACATTCCCTGGCTTTCCTGCTCCTTTCACCAAACAAAACACTCTCTAGATCAGTGTTTTTCAACCTTTTTTGTGCAAAGGCACACTTTTTTCATGAAAAAAATCACGAGGCACACCACCATTAGAAAATGTTAAAAAAATTTACCTCTGTGCCTATATTGACTATATATAAAGTAATTCTCTTGAATAGGAATCAAACACAAAGAAATTATTTTATAATTACTTTATTATGAAATAATAAAGTATTTTATAATTGGACCCGGGGCCGGACCAAGAGTAGATGAATGATGTGTATGTGTCATCCATAGTAAGTATAGTAATATTCCCCCATAGTAAGCATAGTAAATTAATCCCCCATATAGTAATTCATCCTCCATATAGTAATTCATCCCCATAGTAATTCATCCCTCATATAGTATTTCATCCCCCCATAAGTATTTCATCCCCCCATATAGTATTTCATCCCTCATATAGTAATTCATCCCTCATATAGTATTTCATCCCTCATATAGTATTTCATCCCTCATATAGTATTTCATCCCCCATATAGTATTAGTTCATCCCCCCATATAGTATTTCATCCCCTCATACAGTATTTCATAGCAGCAGTTTAGACTTTACTCATATAGTATTTCATCCCCCCATATAGTATTTCATCCCTCATACAGTAATTCATCCCTCATATAGTAATTCATCCCCCCATATAGTATTTCATCCCTCATATAGTATTTCATCCCCCCATATAGTATTTCATCCCCCCATATAGTATTTCATCCCCCCATATATCCGTATTTCATCCCCCCATATAGTATTTCATCCCTCATATAGTAATTCATCCCTGATATAGTAATTCATCCCCCATATAGTAATTTCATCCCCCCATATAGTATTTCATCCCTCATAAAGTAATTCATCCCTCATATAAGTATTTCATCCCCCACAGTACTATTCCCCCCCCCCCCCCCCCCCCCCCCTCCACCCTTCTAGTAAGCCAAGTCCCCCGTGTTAATTCACTTACCTTTTGCGTTCCTCTCGCTGTCTTCCCGCGCCGTTCGGTAATCTTCAGGGCGGACTGTGAGAGGATGCCTAGCTCCCCTCCCCTCACGTTCGGCACGCTGCCCCGCCTACACACATCCTGACAGCCACATCCGCAAGCCGGATTAAAAGGTCCGCGCGGACTTTTGGGGCTGCCAACCGAGAGGAGGCAGGGGAGCGGCCGACCGAGTTGCCGTTAGGAGGGAGCAGCAGGCGCCCGGCACACAGAAGAGCCGCATTAGACCCAAAGAGCCGCATGTGGCTCGCGAGCCGCGGCTTGCCGACCACTGAATCATTAGATTCTAATGATTGGTCTATTTGTGAGCCGAAGCCACATGTTACAGATGAAATTGGAATTTTTCCCACGGCACACTAGAAAATATCTCACGGCACACCTAGTGTGCCGCGGCACAGTGGTTGAAAAACGCTCTCTAGATTAAAGCAGTATAAAACACTCAGTGTTTTTTAGTTTGAAGCAGAATCAAACATCTACATATATAAAAAGCAAACAACAAAAATCCTTAAAAAGTGACCTCCAGGAGCTCGAAACATCTGCTTTTCAAGCAAAGCAAATGCAATAATGAGGACTATATATATAAATTTATTTTATTTATTTCAGGTACTTATATAGCGCCGTCAATTTACGCAGCGCTTTACACATATATATTGTACATTCACATCAGTCCCTAACCCTCAAGGGGTGTGTACAATCTAAGGTCCCTAACTCACATTCATACATACATACATACATATACTAGGGCCAATTTAGGCAGGATCCAATTAACCTACCAGCATGTCTTTGGCATGTGTGAGGAAACCGGAGTACCTGGAGGAAACCCACGCAGGCACAGGGAGAACATGCAAACTCCAGGCAGGTGGTACTGTGGTTGGGATTCGAACCAACGACCCTAGTACTGCCAGGCGGAAGTGCTAACCATTTAGTCACTGTGCTGCCCATATACAGATATATATATATATATATATATATACACACATATACACATACACACACACACACATACACACATATATATATATATATATATATATATATATATATATATATACACACACACATGCAAAGAACTCTAATGGATGGGTGCTGAATAAATCACTCTAATGAGTGCTAAGCAAATAAACAGATGGGCTTGTGAGTTTGTAAATGGAAAAAAGGTTATAAATGAAATCATCTTGGATAAAAAAATATATGTGCATAATGGACAAAGGAAAATACAACAAATAAATCTATGGATATATAGTAAAAATTTATAAAAATATTTCTGTGTATATAAATCAAATAAAACAAACTAGACTACACTAAAAACTAAACAAACTGGGAATAATTATGAGAGAGAAAAAAAGGGGAAAAAAAAAAAAGAACGTAAATAAAAAAAGAAGAAAGAATTATTATCAGCAATGATGAAAGAAGCGGTAATTCAATTGTGAAATGTAGGAGGATAGAAGTACCCATTCATACTCACACAAAAAACTATAGGTCAATAATCAGCATTAAATATGTGTATACCAATAATGATGTTAAAAATCAAATATTAAGTATTAAAAACCAAATGTGGATATTAAATTATGAAACAATAAATATCAAATTAATGTATCTTTCATTTGTTAGTTTTTAGGACTAGAGTGAACTACATTTAGATCTGCCTTGAATGTCTTTCCTAATATAAACATCTGATTTTGAGAGATGTAAACATAATGGTCAGTTACTACATAATCCAAATGAACGCACAAACTTACTGACAGGGAGTGTATTTGTAAAGTTCAGTCATTAAAAATGATGTAATATATCCAAGATCAACATGCAGTCAGAGTAGATGTTTACATGCAAATCCTTCATTACATTTGGATTCTGGCAAAATATACCTTAGGTTATTTTTCAATGCAAGATATCTTTCTTGCTCGTTTAGGTATAAGGCAACCTGTTTGTCTTTAATATATTCCATCATCTGTAAATGACTTAACTCTGCAAATATGTACACTGTCCAATCTAATGACCTTCTGCAACTCTACTCCTGCAGGCGAGAATAAGTGAAAAGACAGTATACTGATGCCCTCCGCTGGCCAAACTATGGAACAGCATTTCCAAAATTCACAGGGAAATATCCTTTAGCAGATGTTTATTCTGAAAATATTTTTTACTTTGGTATTTTTTGAGGATATTTTAAATATGTTGTTCTTTAAATTTTTACAGACTACAGACCTATTAATTATATTCACTAAGAATAGACACTAACCTAGAAGTGACACCCTGTGCACTAGATACCAAGTACTTGGTAGTTCTTTTAGAGATCCAGTTTAAAATGGTGCTCCAAATTAAATGATAATCTGGCTTGAGTTTCCAGCTTCCAGGAGCCTCTGCTAAGGAAAACACGGAAACAGCCATTGATGATTACCATAAAGTGCGAGCACTCTGGCAACCATGGTGGTCATCTGACGTTTTCACCATTTAACATCAAGGTGAAGTTAGAACTCCCAATCTACATAATGGTTTTGGGTTTGTAACTCAAAGTAATGCAGCTATTATATCAGTATAGCCAGGCAACCAGCATTTTCAGAAGGCCAGAGTGGCAGTCATTATATTTCTCTCAGCACAGGTTTCTGTAAACGGAGTGCTATTGGCATGTTAGGTTTCCATTGCACTACAAAGTGAAATCACAAGTAGGTATGTATTTTTTTTTTAGCTGGAGACGCCTTTACATTTGTTTTCTGATAGTACAGCCACCGGTACCATTAATGCAGAGCCTGAAAAATTGGCTTTTGAAAGTAAGAACCAGCTAAAAAAGTTAGGAGCCAGGGTTTTTTTAGCGTAGAGTAGGCTGTCAGAGCCTGGGGCTTCACACTATGCGATTGCCAATCATGGCAAAACCGCACCACATTAGGTGCCATTGAAAATAATGGTGCCTGAACCTGCGTTTTGTAATCACAGTGATTCTGCTGCAATCCCAAAACTCCCATGTGTGAGTGGAGCTGCCCTGTTCACACATATAAGATTCTGGATTTGTTTTGAAACTCATAGATTTGCATGACAGGCTAGATATTTTGTGTTCCTATTGAGGTGGTTCACACAGATGCGATCCACATGCATTGTGTTCTGAGTGCCCTATTGAAAAGGGTCTTGTGCGAGTTTATCACTTGTGAGTATGGAACGCACTGTTACAGAGTAGAGTGGCATGCAGAGATGTGTTCACATAGGATTGCTATTGACAGGATTATTTGCATTGAAGTCTATAGGGCGCAATTTCCCATTGAAGTTCATGGAGCGTGATTTCCCATGAAGCCTAAGGGGCGCCATTTCCCATTGAAATCTATGGGGCGCCATTTCCCATTGAAATCTATGGGGCGCCATTTCCCATTGAAATCTATGGGGCGCCATTTCCCATTGAAATCTATGGGGCGCCATTTCCCATTGAAATCTATGGGGCGCCAATTCCCATTGAAATCTATGGGGCGCCATTTCCCATTGAAATCTATGGGGCGCCATTTCCCATTGAAATCTATGGGGCGCCAATTCCCATTGAAATCTATGGGGCGCCAATTCCCATTGAAATCTATGGGGCGCCAATTCCCATTGAAATCTATGGGGCGCCATTTCCCATTGAAATCTATGGGGCGCCATTTCCCATTGAAATCTATGGGGCGCAATTTCCCATTGAAGTCCATGGGGCGCCATTTCCCATTGAAGTCCATGGGGCGCCAATTTCCCATTGAAGTCCATGGGGCACGAGTTCTTAATAAAGGCTATCGGACACAGTTTCCCATTGAAGTTCCCATTGAACACAGAATATAACTGGATACTAACATTTATAGGTAAAGTTGATCCAGGGAATATCTGATTGCCTCTTGGGGGATCAGGAAGGAATTTTTTGCCCTGCAGGAGCAAATTGGATCATGCTTTGCTAGTTTTTTTTTTGCCTTCCCCTGGATCAACTGTGGGTATAGGATTATAACTTTTTCTTTTTTATGGTTGAAGTAAGCTAACTATGTAACTATGGAGGCAGTGTGTGAACCCAGGCACCAGGGTGCAATTTCTAGTTGACATTGGCAACCTGGCACCTGGGATTTGTTGAGCCCCGCATTAATGGATATTTAAACCCAGAGCAAAAAAATGTATCATTGCAGCTGACCAGTCCTTAAAGTGTTACTAAACCCACAACAGTAAAATCAGTCTGTATATGCAGTAAAGCATGCTTGTTATACTCACTGTGGAACCTAAGGGGTTAATCCTCTGCATTGTGTAAAAAGGCTGCTTGATCCTGTCTTCTCTGATCCTCCCCTTTTTCCAGTGCTCCCTTAATCTCCTAATAAGACATATCGTGTGCAGACACTGCAGATGCTCAATTTGGTGTGTATTGCTAAAGATGTTTTTTTTTTTTCTTGGGAGAGTGCATGTGATCAGCACAGGGCCAATCAGCACTGCCCAGACAGAGGTCAGGGGTTCTTCATCCTCCTAGAGAAAACTCCTCCTGCAAGCTTTAACCAGTGCTCTGCTGGACACTGATAAAAGTCAGAAGACTGCTCTAACTGCTGATGAGAAGGTATTTAGCAGTTTATATTTACTAAAATAACAAATAGTGTGTACTGTGTAAGACCAGCTACAGTGAATGCACGGTCCTGGGTTCAGTAACACTTTAAAGCCCAACTTTAATCAAAATCTATTTTTTCTTTCCATATCTCCCTCCCACTACCCTATAACCCATCCTGTCAGGTGTTAAAGCCTAACTCCTGATTTCATTTAACTTTAAATAGTTTTGTTTGGACCAAACGTGCGCGCTGTCACTGCTGTATAAACTGTATGTTCCAGCAGTGGTATGGGGACTTCCCATCCTGTTCTGCAAACAAAATTGAGTCAGACTAAACCCTACTCAGCCATTAACAGGAAGCTTTGTATTTTATGAATCATGACAAGGCTTTCTCTGACTGGTTGAGGTGCAGAGGTGGGCAGATGATGATCTCCATCTCAGCCAATCAAAGGAAGCCTTGTATTCATTCACAAAAATACAAAGCTTCCTGTGAATGGCTGAGCAGTGCTCAGCCTATTTTGTTTCAGAAAGGGGTAGCAAAGTCCCTTTCCATTGCTGGCACACAGTGCTGAATTCTGTATGTATTAGTGATGGAAATAGTTTGTTTGGACAAGCTTGGCCCAAACAAACTATTTAAAGTTAAAGAAGAACTTCACTCAACACTGACTATTATAAACCTTATGCTGCTACCATTAGTAAATAGATAGGAAAGTATTTCATATTTACTTGTTTTAAATTGTTTTTTTTTTTTTACATTCCTTTACTTACTTCCTGGTTTCCATGCCTAGGCAAATTATGTCCTACATCCCAGGAATCTTCAGGGGTTTTCTCAGCTTAGTACCGCCTCCTGCCTGCATGCCTTAGCTAAGGGCAAATGAATTCCAGGAAGTAATTGCTATATAAATCCTCTGCCCATACTCAAGATGGCCACAGCCAGAAAGGTGTTTTTCTATGTAATTGCTCAACAAATTAAAACATGAAGACAGGGATGGATGGGTGTGTTTGCTTTGAATATTAAAAATGAGTTAAAATGATGATTTTTGTTTGTGTACTTCCACTTTAAATGAAAGCTGGAGTTAGGCTTTAGGTTTTCCTTAAATGGTAAAGCAAGTTATATTCACCCGAGTCCCCATCTAGGTCCCTTACTGATGCAGTTTTTATCTGCGGGGACTGCTAATCCAGCACCACACGTTAACCCTGGCCAGCCAATTCCCTTCACTCCCCTCTGATATAGGAGTAATGAATTATATATCAAACAATGCTACCATCTATATTCTGTGAACTAGAAAACACCTTCCCCCTTTACAATAAAGATGAGGAGACAGGGAGGTGTCTGTAGTCATAAACATGAGAGCTGCGTAAGATGACAACACCGTTTCTCCACGAATACAGTGCAGTGAGTGTGTTCTTACGACAGGAAGTATGTTACTGGCAGGATCACCAGATGAAAGTAAATAAAAATAAGCCTTCGAAAAGCAAACTATTGCAGCCACCACATCTACAAACTGACATGCTGCATTATATTACAGTTTTGTTTTGAAGTTTAGATATGCATTAAGAAAACATAGGTAAGTTTAATTTAATTTGTAGTTTCTCTGTGTCATTTTTATGGGACCTCATATGGAGATGTATCAAGAGTTTTTGTATATGTTTAATGTAGAATATATTTGTCATCAGGCTACAGAATGGATATTGGTTTTCCCATGTAGGACTATCCTCTGCAGCTTGCACACTTCATGTTTTATTTAAAAAAAAAAAAAAAAAAAAAAAACAGAAGCATCACACAAAATCTAAAATTACAGATCACAATAAAAATGATCAATCTTTTAATTAATACCGTCAGGTCTAAAAGGATGTATTGAGTTGGTAAGCTCAATAAGACTCATTGACCCATATATCGCCAACACATTTTGTCTACTGTGTACAGAGATTTATTTCTGAACTATGACCCACGTACATTGCTTTTGTTTGTATCCGAGCTGCTTTCCTGTCTATACAAGTCAATATGAATTCAAAAGTAACTGGAAGATGGTTGATGCAAATCTGAAGCAGTTTTCAATTCAAAAAGCAGCACAATGCAACCCAGAAGCAGCTGGAAGCAACTCATTTTGCAATCAGGATTGGATCTAGCCTGTCTGATGTGGGGGTGCAGTAAAAAATATGAAAGGGCAGAGGATAGGGTTAGCAGTTTGTAGGGCAGTGTATGGGGTCAACAGGGCAGAATTCATTGTCAGAAGGGCAGTAAACAGGGCAGAAGACAGGGCAGTGTACAGGGGTTCGCAGGGCAGAGAACAGGGGTCACCATCGCTGAAGACAGGTGTCAGCAGGGCAGAGAACAGGGGTCATTGTTGGCAGGGCAGAGGACAGAGTTTACTGCTGACAGGGCAGAGCTCACTGCTGGCGGGGAAGAGGACAGGGATCACTGCTGGCGGGGAAGAGGACAGGGATCACTGCTGGCGGGGAAGAGGACAGGGATCACTGCTGGCGGGGAAGAGGACAGGGATCAGGGAAGAGGACAGGGATCACTGCTGGCAGGGCACAAGACAGGGATGGCGTAAAACTAAATCCCAACAAGCGTTCACCCGCTATAAATCTGCCTTTTTAACGTACTCTTCCTCCCTTCACACTGCCAAACAAGCCTACTTTATTATCCTCATTAGTACCTTCTCCTCCAGTCCTTGCCGGCTCTTCTCCACTTTTAACTCTCTACTTTCTCCACCTCCACCCAGTACCTCACTTACCGCCCACGAGATTGCCAACCACTTCAAAAACAAGATTGACGCAATTCGTAGGGACTTCGCCACTGCTCAGACACCCACCCCACTTAGCACTCTACACACAATAACACCCTCAACACTTTGCTCCCTTGACCTCACTACCACCGAAGAGGTCACTAAGATTTTCCCGAAGCCCGCCTCACCATCTGCCCCCTGGACCCTGTCCCCTCACAACTCCTGCGGTCCCCCTCCTCTTCCATCCTATGCTCCCTCACTTACATCTTCAATCTTTCCCTCTCCACCGGTACCTTCCCCTCCCCTCTAAAACACGTGCACATCACTCCCATACTTAAGAAACCCTCCCTGGCCCCCTCCGACCTGAACAACCTAAGACCCATCTCCCTACTGCCATTTACCTCTAAACTCCTAGAACGCTTAGTCTACAATCGCCTGAGCTCCCATCTCACTGACAACAACCTTCTCGACCCTTTACAGTCCGGCTTCCGCCCCCTACATTCCACCGAAACTGCCCTACTCAAACTCACCAATGACCTACTAACCGCCAAAACCAATGGCCACTATACTATACTCCTACTACTTGACCTCTCTGCGGCTTTTCACACGGTTCACCACCCCCTCCTCCTCAAAAAAACTGCACTCTCTTGGCCTCAGAGACTCTGCTCTCTCCTGGTTCTCCTATCTATCGCAGCGCTCCTTCAGTGTTACCTATAATGCTACCACCTCCCCTTCACTCCCTCTATCTGTCAGGGTCCCTCAAGGCTCTGTCCTCGGACACCGCCTCTTCTCCATCTAAACCTCCTCCCTTAGCCAATTGATAAACTCCCACGGCTTCAACTACCATTTCTATGCCGACGACACACAAATCTATCTCTCTACCCCTCACCTCCCCCCCTCAGCCTCCAATCGCATCACCAGCCTACTAAGTGACATATCGGCATAGATGTCATTCCACTTCCTCAAACTCAACCTTTCCAAAACTGAGCTTCTGGTATTCCCCCCAGCCCGCCCCCCCCCCCACCCCCCCCGACTTCTCCATCAAGATCAACAACACTACCATCAGCCCCACCCCTCACGCCAGGGTACTAGGTGTAATCCTAGACTCCAATCTGTCCTTTCAGCCCCAGGTCCAATCACTGACAAACTCATGTAGACTTCACCTCCATAACATCTCCAAGATATGACCGTTCCTAACCTCAGAAACCACTAAGCAACTCATTCACTCCCTTATTATATCACGCCTTGACTACTGTAACTCCCTCCTCATTGGCCTACCTCACCGCAGGCTATCCCCACTACAGTCCATCATGAATGCTGCTGCCAGACTCATTCACCTTACTAACCGCTCTATATCTGCCACCCCTCTCTGCCAATCCCTCCACTGGCTTCCAATTGCCCAACAGATAAAATTCAAAACACTAACACTAACGTATAAAGCCGTTCAAAACACTGCCCCTAATTACATCACCGACCTTGTCTCTAACTACCACCCAAACCGTACTCTCCGCTCCTCGCAAGACCTCCTACTCTCTAGCTCCCTTGTCTTCTCCTTCCATGCTCATCTCCGGGATTTCTCAAGGGCTTCACCCATCCTCTGGAACTCCCTACCCCTAGCTATCAGGCTATCGCCTACTCTGCTCACCTTTAGGCACACTCTGAAAACCCATCTCTTCAGGGAAGCCTACCCCGACCCCAGCTAATACTGGAATCCACTACTCCTCCTACCACTCCATCCCTAACAGCTAATTACCTCTTGTACCACTATCCCCTCCCTCCTAGATTGTAAGCTCCAAGGAGCAGGGCCCTCTAATATTGAACTGTATTGTTACTGTACTGTCTCCCTCCATAATGTAAAGCGCTGAGCAAACTGTTGGCGCTAGATCCAGTCATGAACTGAATTGAACTCAAATATAAGTTGAAGCATCTCAGAAGCACATTGAAGTATAACACATTTGACTCACTTCTGAGTATGATGCCCATATAGAACCAGCTCTAAGATATAGAACAGCATCACTTTTCACCCATTATGTTAGTGCATAAAAAAATTACAGTATATAAAATTACCAAACAGAAGCCGTTTCCTACTACTAAAAATGCAATTCCCATTTTTTGCATCACTAAGAGGCATATTT